GGTTTAAAGCATTTAAATTTTTTCTGTGTGCCTATCTTTTGATTTTATATAGCATATGAGGAGTTCGCTGAGACCAAAGTCTAAAGGATATATTTGCCTAGAGAAGTCACCCAGTCCTGACTCATTCTGAAATTTATATTATCCTACCACCAAAAAGAACAAGGGAATAGTATTTGTCTATAGTCAGAATTTTTAGAGAAGATAATTATTTAATATGTATTAAGCTGCCATCATTAGTGTATGTGAATTTCAGTGGTTTAAATAAGTCTGCATTTTCTATTTTCTAGCACATTAAAGAGCTATTTTCTGATCTAATAAAGTATCAGGAAGACTCTTAAATTTATTTGAGTTGTCACAAAAACGACAACAACAACAAACAAACCTGATCTGTGTTTTTCTTTTATGTAGTATATGTGCGGTAGAAAAGCTCTTTAAAGTTTATTTTTTACCCACTGTTGTTGGTTAGGTTTGTTTGAAAATAAAGGCATTCAGCTTCTTTTGTGGGCCTTCCTGAATTTCATAGGATCTCTACAGGCCGTCTTTTGATATCCATATAAAAGCCCTTAGCCTTTACCTAAAATTTGCTTCCAGTCTAGATTTCATGCTCATCTAAAAGTCCTGTAAGATTTTTCTCTCGATATCCATAGAACTTGACATTGGGCCTAGTACATGGTGGTTTCCTTAATTTAAACAATTATGTTTAGTAATCAGTAGAGTAATGTTGATTCTCTAGGTATTTTTCAGCATTTTCACAAGCCTGACAGTAATCATATATTAACCTCAATCAACTGCTTTTGACTTAAGCTAATATAGTTGAGGAAGGAAGCAACACTGAATGGTTCTGAACCATTTCAGATTCCTTTGGTAGTCTAAAAGTATGTTGTACTCTCTTTCCTGAAAAAATGCGTATGTATACATAAAGAAATTTACATGTAATTCCAGGGGGTTTAGGATTCCCTGAAACCTATCCTCGACCTTTTTGTGTGGAAGAGGAAAATTATGAGAGAATTTTCCCCCACGTCCACCTCAATCAATACACACACACACCACTGAAGAGGATCCTTTTAAATTTGCACATAGTTTATGAAGAAGGCTTTCTAAGCTCAACTGTCACTGCTTCAGAAAGGTGATATTTCCTAGTGGCTAAGAGTACAGGCTCTGGAACCAGTCTGCCTGGATTCAAATACCAATTAATTCTATGACCCATGTAACCTTGGACAAGTGGCTCAACCTTTCTGTTTCTTCAAATGAATTATTGTAAGAATTACATGAGTTAATACATGTAAAGTGCTTAAAACAGATAGTGGTACTCAATAAGTGTTAACTATTGTTACTAAGTATAATACTTAGTAACAATAAGTACACAGACAGGATTACTGTTGAATACCTGGCAAAGTGAGGTTCTCTGGACTGCCTTTTGCCCGGATTGAGGGTACCTTTTTCTAACTTGCACAAAGACACCCTATTAGGTAATATCCTCCCTACAAACATGCATGTCTTTATGGAGTATGCCAAGATAAACTTTCTTTTCCATACTAACATTAGGGTAAGCCTGTTTACCCTATTTGTAAGATAGTTGCTTACAATTTTATGAGAAAAACAAAGATCCAGATCCTTCTGTGGGACTCCTCTTTTCACCCACTTTTCCTCTAAGCAGAGTAACTGCTGCTGCTCTTCTTGTCCACAATGTGACAGTTTGGTTGTGTCTGTTAATCATTTTTAGTCCATTGCTATTTCCACTCTATCCTCTTTTTTTAATGATAAAAGATTGAATAGAGATTATGTAAACTATTAGGATTTATGATTCAGTGGAAGGAAAAAAACTATGATTGCATCCCCTCCCTCTCCCATTAAAGGTAATAATTATCCTTGTGCTTATCTTTTTCTTTTTAACTTTATTGCATATTTATTCCTAAACAATATATTGAAACTTTATGTAAATGGAAACTATGTGTGTGTGTGTATTCTGCTACTTGCTTTTTACTTTTCAGCTCAATATTATATTCTTGAGTTTTCATCTACGTATAGTATTTCATTGTATGGCAGTACTTCAATTTATTTATCCATTCTACTGTTCATGGACATTTTGGTTGTTATTTTGCTACTATATACAATACCATGAATAAATATTTTTATTAATTTTTTAAAATGCACATGTGAAATTTCTCTAGGATATAAAAGCTAAGAGTGGAATTACTGAATTAGAGGGAATGCAAATCTTCGTCTTTACTAAATAATGCCAACTCAATTCTGAAAGTAGTTGCATTAATTTATACTCCTTTTGTCAGGGTATAAAATTCAAGTTGCTATTTAATTCATTCAAGAAATGTTTATTGGGCATGTACAGCAGTAAACAAAAAGACAAAAAGTCCTAGTCTGTATTTTAGTAGGGGCTAATAACTAAAATATTTAATATATCAAAATGGTACATGTTATGGGGAAAAAATTAATAAAGCAAGGCGAGGGAATGCTATCTCACTGCTCTTAGAGTCATGGGGGTCAGAGACTAAGGGGATGAATTGCAACCAGGAAGCTCTGAGCTTCATGTGGTGATGACATAAAAAGATACAGGTATGGTGAGATTGGTTGGTCCTGATGCTTTCAGGCAGATGATGGTAGCGAAGCTGTGAGTTTGAGGTTGGGAGTAGAGTTTGAGAATCTTGTTGGGAACATTTTTGGAGGCCCTCTTCACTCTCCCAGCAGTGATAAGGCTGAGGAATGAGCGAGGAGGCTGGTATTAGGTGATCTTATTCTGAGCACTTAGAGCTTTGGGGCCCACTTTGACTCTTGCCCATAGTGGTGTAAGGGACCAGGAGAGGGGCATATGGAACACTAGTGTTCTCTTGATTCAGGAATACTTGGAACTCTAGTGCTTGCTTGACTGTTGAAGTTGGAGAAATGAAGGTTGGGGTGAGGGTGGATTTACTCTGAACTTTTGGAGCAGTATGGCTTCCTCTTGACCCGGCCAATGGAGATGTCCTTGGGGAGGGATGGTTTTGTCTAGAGCAGCGGTTCTCAACCTGTGGGTTGTGACCCCTTTGGGGGTCGAACAGCCCTTTCACAGGGGTCGCCTAAGACCATTGGAAAACACATATATAATTACATATTGTTTTTGTGATTAATCACTATGCTTTAATTATGTTCAATTTGTAACAATGAAGTTGGGGGTCACCACAACATGAGGAACTGTATTAAAGGGTCGCAGCATTAGGAAGGTTGAGAACCACTGGTCTAGAGTCTACAGAGTTCCCATTGTCAAACTTATTAATTATTGCCAGTCTGGTGGGTGTCGAAGAGCATCTTGTGGTGTTAATTGCACTTTCCCTTTTCACTCTAAAAATCCAAAATTCTATATCTTTCCTATGTCGGTCATATAACTTTACTGCTAACTCCTAAGTTAAACTCCATGATCATATGGGTTCATCATCAAGTTCATATTCCATGTACTAGACACCCAAGATTTCCCAGTACCACAACTGAAACTTTGACTTTGGTGACTCTTGTCAGTAGACTCACAGGGAAATCCATTCTGCCCTGTTGTCATCATAAAGGTTGAGTTAGAAATCTTACCATCTGTTCACTCTATTCTCAACTGTACATTATTACCTAACCTCAAAAAACACATCAATATATCTACACTGATGTTTTCTGCACCTCATCTGAGGCTTCTATCAAAATATTGGCCCTATGTGGCATTAAACTTGCCATTTTGAAATCTGAGAATCCCTGTGTCCCTTAGTGCCCTCACAGCATCCAGCCTCAAAATTCACAAATAACACCGGAGAAAGTCAGGGTATACATTGTCCTCTGATGGCCTGTGGCACCCTAGGTGGTTCTCTGGTTGTCCAATACATCCTGCTACCCCACCTCATCTACTTGTTCTATTCATGCCATGAAGGATTACAGAGATCATGGTAGTATCTGCAAATTCCAACTGAATTACTATATGTTTTCTAAAAATAGCCCAGGACCATTGCTCAGAACTAGGCCTTACTTGCCTTCTTAAACTTACACTGTGCACAAACCTATAAAAATAGATGTGGGCATTGCCTGTCTTGGTTTCTTTCCCAGCCTTCAAAAGGATTTCATCCAACTTCCTATTGTTCGCTATTAAGAATATTATTGAATAATTTTGTAAGCTTTTTCTTGAATGGATTGAAGTCTATTATAGAAAGACTGTCATCCTTAATGTTCTCCCACACATTATGGGAATACCTTACATGGCATCTATTTCACAAAAGAGATATACAAGAAATCTCAAAGTTCTACCAGGTTAAATATGATTATGCAGACCTTGTTATTCCCAAAATGTAAAAGGAGTAAAAAAAAAGGAAACATAGTCTTTAAAAAATGAAGCTATTACAAATCTTAAGTGAACCAAAACCCTTCCTAGTGCCAAAATAAGTATAGGAATAACTCCCAACAGATAAATTAGTTTGAGCCTAGATGAAATTATATGGGGAAACCTGTGAGGCAATTCTCATCCCCCTTGATTGACTCAAATGATTTTCCAATGCATGTTCTTAATAATATTGTGAGCAACTGAAAACCCATTATGAGTCGTCTGAAGTGTTATCATTTACAGGTATGTGAAGCATTCCCAGACCCTCCAACCAACTCAGCATCAGCTACTTCTCTGACGGGTCCTGATTAAGGTCCTCCCAAGAAAGACTTCATTGGATCCACGCTCAAGAGGACTCTCCCAGGTTTTCCTGACCCCCCTACATCGCTGTAAAGTGCCAAGGCCTTAAGACTTGGGTACGTGTATCACAACGGCAAGAGTGCCAGCGCCCACAAAGACCCATTGGATCTGTCAGCTCCTCTCTTTGACCAAGCAGACACAATAGCTAACCAGCAAAGCAGAGTAAGCCAAATGCCTCTGCATGAGATCATCAGCTGATTAACACACAAGAAAAAATAACTAATTTAGACCAGAGTTCTAGCTTTTCTTGAGAAACTGGAATTTGAAGGGGCTATTCTGTGATCTGTGCTCCTAGCAAGTGACTGAGAACATTATAGACTGGATTGTTCGCTGAGTTGAGAGACTGAGTTGTGATTGAGTGAAACATAGACAACGAAATATTGAAGAATTGCACGTAAGTGCAAGCCAGATTTAACTCTCTCTCTAAGTAGTATTGGTTGGACTGAGAATGCGCTAAACCAAACCTGTGATAGGACTGGCTATTTGGGTATCTCCCTTTGTCATTGTTGTCTCTTACTGTTGCATTGCTTTCTGTGTCATCGCTGGAGGAACAGATGTTCTCAGATAATTCACATTGCCCTGACTGTGGGCAAAAGTGGTTTCCTAGTTCAGAACTAGGCCACTGGTTGTACCAAACTGAACTTATTGAAAATGAATGTTACCAAGTATTCTTAGACCATATTAACAGAGCTGATTATTGTCCTGAGTGTTATCCTGATAATCCTGCTAACAGAAGCCTTGTCCTTCCTTGGTCTTTCCCACTTGAATGGGCCCCCCAAAATCTTACCAGGTGGACCTTTGAAAAAGCTTGCCACCCATTTCTTCTGGGTCCTCCGCTGGTTAGAAAAAGGATACATGACTCTAGACTAGCTGGTTTTAACCCAGCATTACAGTTAATCTTGGCTAGAACAGACACAACCTTAAACAAAAAACTTGGCCAAAGCAAATAACTTCTTAAAGAGTCACAATCATGGAGACTCTAGAGGGTTTTGTGCTAGTAACCCAAGGAAGATGGAAAAATGACGCCTTTTATATCTAATTCAGACTGTCACTACTTCGGGGAACTGCTTAACTTGCTCCCATGGTCTACACCTATTCTGTTCGGCATGAATTTAGTCAGTATTCCAGCCGGCTGTTCATCTGGAGCCAGAGCATTTTGTGTTCCCTGTGCTTTGGAATTAGCTTACCCTCCTGAAAAGCTCCACAGCCTAACTACTGACAGAGGACAAGGTAGTCCTGGAGGAGCCCCATACTGTGTATACCATGATGATATTTCTAGTGATAACTTCTGTGGGAAAGCATCTTTATTGTAGCTGGCTTCTAGATCAGCGGTCGCCTCACTGGTGGTCCGTAAGGGCCGAAAGGTTGGCAACCGCTGTTCTAGATTATTTCAGTAAAAGAACTAGACATTTTAATAAGAAATTACATTGTTCTAAATTCCACCCCTTCTGATTTTATATATAATTAATTCATATATAATCATTTATTCATAATTGGCTCTATTTAGCCTTAGTGTGGCTTTGATATTATAGATAACTGGTCACTGCCAGAGAAACCACATCCTATTGGTAACACCTACATAGGTTACACAAAAACATGCAGAAATGCCTATACTGTCTATACTTACTTGGCTCTACATAAACAAAGACTGTCCTGTCTTTGTGGTGACTGAACTTGGAATGTCCTGCCAGGAAATGGAAAAGTGTGTATGAGATAGGCTGCAAAAAGAGGTATCCAGCTTGACTCCATAATAGTAGGAGCAGTCGAAGGGAAGCATCTTCAAACCAAGACGGTCTTGCTGGGTGTTAGCCACATTCTGGCCTTCACTTGTTCATAAGAAATTTTGAAAAACCTGTTGGAACATCTCAGAGGCCATGGGATAAGTTTAAAATTCCACTTAAGATGCTAGATAATCCATTGCTTGTGTAGCAACTCAACAGTGTTCTCAGCCCAGGTCCTCTCTGTTTTTCCCCTCTGGGATCCTTACGCATTAGCTTTTGTCCTCTTAGTGTCCTCAGTGATTACAGTGTGGCTTGTTGCTGCTCTGGGCATTTCAGTCCCATTTGGAAGCAGGGAGCGAAAGCTTTCTCCTTTGAAGACTCTGTCTTACTTGGAAAGGAAATCTTTCCCAACAGTCCCTCACCAATTTCTCCTTACATCTCATTAGAAGGTTCTGATTCAAACAGGAGCCTGGGAAGTCAGGCCAAGGAGAATGGGGTTGGCAGTGCCTAGGCAGGGCACATTGTCTCCCCTAATAAAATGAGGGCTCTTTGAGGAAGGAAGCAGTGGGGAATGAATGGCTGTTTTCATGCAGGAACTCATGCCTGCCACATGTTGTGAAACCTGAGCTGTTTGTTCGTCTGTATAAAGAATGTACCCCAGAGACCTCTCCTGTATCTGCCTTATGTCTATCTTGGTGGAAGTTCTCTCCTGTTATATTGCTGAATAAACTGTGTGGACTGCTAAACTGAGATTAGTAGTTTATCATTATGCCTTGATTAAGAACTCCTTCGCTATCCTAAAGCTCACTCCAGAAAGTGAACATTTACTTTGAGGTGTTGCTTTTGAGGATGGTGCTATGATCAATATTATTGCTCTACATTTTTTCAGACACCCTCTACATATGTGCAATTCTAATTATCAGCAAAATGGAGACGAGGTCTTTTGTTTTAACCAGTCTCTCCTTTTAGTAGTAAAGATAAATTAAATCGATTTATTCCATTGATTTTCAAATCAGTATCTGGATGAACTTGTCAAAAATTGGGAATTTCTTGATCTTACAGAAATCTTGATTCCTTAGGTTGCTCACAGGGCCCAGGAATCTGCATTTTATAAGTCGTGCCTTAGGAGCCTTGTGTAGGTAGGTGCTCTGTGGGTCATACCTGGAGACATACAATAGCAACATATCCAGGGTGTCCTGTTATCTGGCTTAAAATGATGGGAATGGAGTGCTCATTCTGCGACAAGGTAGTGATAGGTAATTGTACTTTGCTGGTGACATAGAGAGATTTCCCGTCAGACTGAAGGTCACTTGATATTTCAGGTTACAACTCAGTCACACATTTCTCACAAATTAAAATGATTGCACCATTGTAGCCCTCCTCACAAACAGTTCTGTATGGTGTCATATAAGCCATGTGAGTATATAGGCAAAAGGAAGGAATAAAAAATATTAATTTTAATTTACCTTAAGTAGGATACTTTGCCTTCAGACATGATTATCACATACCTCTTATATGGTTCGCTCAGAAATAACATCGTGTGGCAGAGTTCATAACACTGAGCAAGGGAGAAAATTTAGAAAGCTTTGTAGCTCTTCAGCTTAGGTCATTTCAGTATGACCACGCTTGGTTTAAAATACTATGGATCATTCTAGAGGACTCCACTTCAGAGTTATGAATAATGCATTTCAAAGTATAATATGTCCCTAAAATTCATTTTCATGACAAATGATGTGGAGAGTTATCTACTGTTTTGGATTATGTGAGCCATATCCATCTCTACTTCCATACTGTGAACGGGTTGATAATACTACGTACACATAATGGTGGCCACTTTAAAAATCACTTTTATAACTACCTGTTATTTTATGGCAGACCTGGGAGTGGAAGGTTAATGGAAACATGCCTGGGCAGATGGGGAAGAAAATGTCTCATCAAAAGAAAGCTGTCCTGGGTTGTGGATGACTGTTAAGATTTATCTCTAAGTCATAGGAGAAGGAACCCCAGGCAAGCCCAGGCAAAAAAACACACAACAACAACAAAAAAAATCTATGGCATTCAAAGAGTATGTGGCTGTCAGCATGTTATAGATACCTGTAAAAGTGAAGTGAGTCATACCCCTTCCAGCTCTTCAGGTCCCTCCAGCAGCTCTGAGTTGCCATGGGATCTCGAGAACACAACTTGATAACAGTTTATAGAGGAAACATGATGGCCTTGCAGCCAGCTGATCTGGGCTTGTCTTTGAATTCTGACTATTGAATGACCTTGGGCGATTTAACTTCTGTATCCACTTCATCTGGAAAAGAGAAGGAATAATCATGGTCCATACATCATAAGATTGTTGTGAAGATTCCATAAGTTAATACATAAAGTGCTTCGAAGGCTCCCTGGCCCAAAGAACATGCTCAATAAATGTTAGCTATTATTGTCATTGTGTATGTTTTGTTATTTGTCTCCACAGCAGGATTGTAAATTGTTTGAGGACCACGTTATCTGCTACTTTTTATCTCTAGAGCATAAATGGCATCCTTCATTAAAAGGAGCATATAAAAATAGAATAATAGATATACACTTATTGGGCCCTGTCATACCTTTGATACGATGGCATTTATGTCAAAACTACTCTCCTGGATTGAAGGATTCTCTTACGTCTTTCTCAGCTGCTAAACTTCTAATATCCCTCTCCTTTTTAAAAGAAATATTTAGCTCTTGGTGTTGCAGACACCTGTGCTTCCTGATACCTGCCTCTTCCCGCTTCTGCACGTCTCCTCCAGGTCTCTAACCCCTCCCCAACTCCTGCCTGGTCCCCAGGGCCAAACTAGAAGTTTTCAGAATGGAGTGGCGGTGGTTGGGTGAGGTCCTGTTTCCCAGCAGCTTTTCCTTGTCATGTCTCCTCCCAAAATGTATGGGAGACTGTGGTTGAATGGTGACTCTGGACTGTAAGTTCATTCTCTGTGGGCTCAAAGTTACTATCACAGGCCTTTTCTTTCTATTCTTTTCCCCACAGAAGCGAATATGTTTTATTTTATTACTCATTAAAAAATTATTACATCCAACATATAGAAAAGTGCAGAAAATAACATTTAGCTATGTACCCAGATCCCATGAACATTTTGCCACATTTATCTCTGTTCTTTCTTTTAAAAGATACTTTACAGATACAGTTGCCTCCCATCCTTGTTCTCAGCCTATTCTTTTTTTAAAATATATTTTATTAATTTTTTTACAGAGAGGAAGAGAGAGGGATAGAGTTAGAAACATTGATGAGAGAGAAACATCGATCAGCTGCCTCCTGCACACTCCCTACTGGGGATGTGCCTGCAACCAAGGTACATGCCCTTGACCGGAATCGAACCTGGGACCCTTGAATCCGTAGGCTAACGCTCTATCCACTGAGCCAAACTGATTAAGGCCTCAGCCTATTCTTGTCCTTCCCTCTGCAGAAGCAAGCATTAAATGGAAGTCGATGTCTATCCTTTCTGTTCATGCATTTAATTTTTAATTTTATATCTACTTAATGGAAAGAGCAATACAAAGAATTGGATACTTTCACATTTTTATTAGTTATAAATTTATACATACATCTGTAATATGCATCAGCTTATAGAGTTACCCTTACAACATTTAACTTTGTATGTTGGAGTCTGCTAAACTTGCTTGTGTTACTGAAGTCATTCTGTGTACCAGACAGGGAACACCTCCCAGGTTGTCACGGCATTGCCATTGGTACAAGGAGATGAGCACAAAGAGGAGCCACATCTGCGGAGGAAGCAGTGAAGCAAATTTGTGTACCTCTTTGGAGAAGTCCCAGGATATCGAAATCAAGGAAAGGCATTCCACATTCTGCCATCTGGTGCGTTCTCCATAAATGGAGAATAAAACCTGACTGCTTTAACCAGTCTCAGTCCTTCCTGGAAACAGTTATAGCAAAGTGACCCAAGTTTTGCTGCAGATTTCAGGGTCACAGGGGAGTGGAGATAACCGCCCGCAATGAGCCTCATTTTTACTTACGTGGAAAAATAAACCACCTCCTCCACAGAGGGGGCACCGAAAACCAACATTTCATGATTGAACTTGAAAGGATTTCACTAAATGTAAATGTTTTTATGCCATATAGGTACATGGGGTCTTCCTCAGCTTGTTTTTGGGAAAGATCCCTTTAAAGGTGTCTTTTTGGGACTTTTTCCTACAGCTGCAGAAAGGCTCCAACATCCCCATTTCCATCAGGACGAGGCTCTGCCTCACTTCCATGATGCAGTCCAGGGGTTCCTAATGCGCACACTTCCTAGTATATGGATTGGACACATTCAAAAGATTGACCTGCTTCTGGAATAGTGGCCTCCAGATCTCCCAGGTTCCCCAGCACGTGACTTCTTGTGAGGCTGTGTCAGGAAACTCCATGTTTGTGCCACTTCTAACTTGCAGCCTTGAGGGAATACCACTTCAGCTGTGAACATGCGAGGAGGATACGTTAGAAAGGGTCCGAATGCAATGGGCTTCGGAATGGCATGTGCCTTGAGACAAGAAAGGTGTATACTGAGCATTCGTGAGATGATAGAAATACTTGTGATGGTTCCTTTGCAGGTTGTTTGTTGGCTGCAACCTAGTAATACATTTTGTTTCCCAGTAATACATTTTGAAAGCATTGTGTTACAACTTTTATTGAAGATGCTCTACGTGCAACAAAATGTACAGATTTTTCATATGATGACAATTGATTGTAACCACCACCTCAATAAAGACCTGAAGTACTTTCTGGACCCCAAAGTGTCTTCTCATGCCCTTTTCCAGTGCTTCTTCCACCAGGAGCCACTGACCTGTGTTTTATCACCACAGTTCATACATCTGCACCAGCAGAAAGGAGTCCTGTCCCTAACTCCTCCCTTCCCTTCCAGTTTATAAGTAGCACCACTCTTCATTCATATTATTTTCAATTAAAATATGGATTGAAAATTCTATACCAGGCACTGTGCTAGGTAGGCATTTGGGAGTAAAATTAAATTTTACAAAATTGTGCTGTGAGAAAGATACAAAGACGGCTAGTTGACTAGCCTCTCAAAACACTTTACAAGGCTCCTTCACACATATATATATTTTTATTGAGTTAAACTTGGTATATAACATTACAAAAGTTCCAGGTTACAACATTATAATTTGACATCTGTATATACTACAAAGTGATCACCACCAAAAATCTCGTTACCATCCTTCACCATACAATTGACCCCATTCCCCTTTGGAAACTACCAATCTTCCCTGTATCTATGAGTTTTGTTTTGTTTGTTCTTTTATTTGTTGTTGTTTTGGTGTTGTTTTTTTAGATTCCACATATGAGTGAAATCATATGGCATTTGTCTTTTTCTGTCTGACATACTTCACTTAGATCTATCCATGTTGTCACAAATGGCAAGATTTCATCCTCTTTTATGGCTGGGTAGTACTCCATAGTATGTATGTACCACATTTTTATCCATTCATCTGCTGATGGACATTCTCTCCTCCAAACCTCAAGGCAGCTGTCTCAGTTTGCAGGTAGCCCCTGTGCATTGTTACTTGTGAAGGATAAGCTTCTGACAGGCAAACTCTGAGAAATGTATATGGGACAGAAATTGAAGACATAACGGAAATCGGCAATGAGTAATTCAGCAGTGACTTAAATTTCTACTCTTAGAATGACTTTTCATTTCAATTTCATAGATATTCTCTTTAAGATTCTGGTCACTTGGTCTTAACATTTTCATATCCTTTCAGCCACACTGGAATGTACTGGGAGAGTATTCAAAGTTAAGAATCTGAAGCTTTTTTCTCTTTGTAGTCTAGACTGTGGAATGTGATCCTCGAGAAAGGCAGAAAACATTCTTATCTTCACTAGAGAACGTTTCAGAGAGGAAATATTACTCAAACTAAACAGATTTAATAAGTAAAGCTGAAATTGGCATTTCTCCCATGGATGACTAAAGAGTCATTTAAAAATTTTTTTTTCAGTTTTATTTTAGTGACTGTACATATGCCTTGTTTCCTGGGTCCGCGGGAAGCATGAGTCTGTTGGGACTTGGGACAAGAAGAAAACAAGACTTCTTCACAAGGAAAACCAGACACTAACAAAAGGAACCCCAAGGTCTGAAGAGAGAGAACACAACCATGGCAGACAGAGGACCTGGGGACCCGCCGAAGGGTAAGGTGGTTGTGCAGCACTGGGGTTGGTGCTGCAGGAAACCAGGGCTGGGCTGAGAGAAAACCTCTGATGACGGAAACCTGCCTGAAGTTCGGAAGTAAAAAGAAGTTAACGTCATTGTTTAATTTGCTCTGGTTATTCTTATCCTTTCATATTTACTAAATTTTACCAAAATATCAGACCTTAATTATAAGTAAGATTAATGTTTTAGAGACTCCAGTCGTTGGAACCTGTAGTATTGGAAAAATGCAATGGCTCTTAAAAAAGATTGTAGACAAATTGTTATTTATTTTAAAAATCAAGATGTTTTTAAAAATTAAGAAAACAGAGACATGCTATATATTTAGAGGGGGTCTTTTTATTATAGGGAAAGATGAAATTTAAATTCACCCTACTTATGTATATATAGAGGGTACACAAAATAGGCAAAATATGAGGTAGATTTTGCAGAAGAGAAGACGGGCATATTTATTTTAATCTTTTACAAAGGATTTTTTTAAAAAAACATAAAAGTAGAACTGTGTAATGAACCCCCATGTACTTAACAGCTAACTTCAAGTATTACCTACATAATGCTGCACTTGTATCCTGCTTTGGAATATTTAAATGTGAATATAAGACATTACATCGTTTTATTTGTAGAAAGTTTTTTCTCTTAAAAATAGATGTTTAAGAACAAACCATAACTAAAATAGCATTATCACATCTAAAAAATAAATTGTTCTTTCTTTTTTTCTTTTTTTAAAAAAAATATATTTTATTGATTTTTTACAGAGAGGAGGGGAGAGGGATAGAGAGTTAGAAACATCGATGAGAGAGAAACATCGATCAGCTGCCTCTTGCACGCCCCCTACTGGGGATGTGCCCGCAACCAAGGTACATGCCCTTGACTGGAATCGAACGTGGGACCCTTGAGTCCTCAGGCCGACGCTCTATCCACTGAGCCAAACCGGTTAGGGCAAATTGTTTTTTCTTAATATCATCACGTATCCAGTGAGTATTCACATTTACCCAGTTCTCTCAGTAACAGTTGAGTTTTTTTTTTTCTCTCTTTACAGTGGGGTCACACAATGCATTTTGGATTGCTTAACTTTTTAAAGTTTTATTACAGAAAATTTCAAACATAAAAGTAGAGAGCCATCGCACAGCTTCATCTGCTGTCAGCATATGGCCTCATCTGTGCTCCCTCTCTTCTCCCTTCCCCCAGGTCATTAAACTGAAGCAAATTCTAGACATATAATTCTAGCTATAAATCCTTGAATACTTATCTCTAAGATAAGGATTCTTTTTTCAAAACATTATTGCAATACCTTTACTGTTGTAAAAGATGAACAAAAATTTCTTAGTATCATCAAATATCTGGCATTCAGACTTTCTAATTATCTCATAAATATTTCTCTAACAACTGATTTCTTTGACACTGGATTAAAACAGTGTCGTTCGCAGACTGCATTTGGTTCATCTGTCTGAAGTCTCTCTTAATCAATAGGTCACCCCTCATTTTCTCTTCTTGCCATTTATTTTTATATCTTGCTATTACTAAAGAAGCAGAGTCTTTTGCCCCTTGGAATGTCCCCTATTCTGGGTTTTACTGATTATATTTCTGAGGCATAATTTTTTTAAAATATATTTTTATTGATTTCAGAGAGGAAGGAAGAAGGAAAGAGAGAAACATCATTGATGAGAGAGAATCACCGATCAACTGCCTCCCGCACGCCCCACACTGGGGATCGAGCCCGCAACCCGGGCATATGCCCTTGACTGGAATCAAACCTGGGACCCTTCAGTCCACAGGCCGACACTCTATCCACTGAGCCAAGCCGGCTAGGGCATCTGAGGCATAATTTAATACATCCTTCTGTCCCTGTATTTCCTGCAACCTGGTAGTTAGCTCTAGAAACATGATCAGATTCAGGTTCAGTAGTTTTGCAGGAAGACTTCCTAGGTGGTACAGTGTACTTCCTATTGCATTGACTCGGGAGGTTAATGATGTCTGGTTTCCCTCTTGGTGCGATGTTAATTTTGATCAGCTGGTTCAGCAGCTGTCAGCCTGGTCATCCATTATAAAGTTCCTCATCAGCTTTTTGCATAATGGTTTTAGTTACTGCAGATGATGATTGCCTAGATCCATTATTTCATTAGGGAAGAGGATGCATTTAATACAACCAAAAGTTGGCTCTGTCCTTCGGAATAGTTTTACATTAGTGCTATTTGTTAAGTTTGTTAACACAATAATAAATGTGTTTGTCTTACTCTCCTTTAGTGTATGTCAAGAGAAATAATGTTTAGGAAGAATGCCTTGTAAATCATAAAATCTATATAATACTACTTATTATTAATCAGGGACCTTGTTAGAATACAAAAAAGGAATTTTTTTTTCAATAAAAATGATAAATTTTTTATCTCCACAGACTCTCAAAAGGATTTGAAAAATGACCCATCAATAAATTCTCAGGCACAGGAGACCACAGTCACGGCAAGTACCACCAAAGAAGCTCAGATCCTGAGCCCTGCCTCTGGTCTCAACAAGGACCACCAAGAAGTAGAAACAATAGGTTCAGGAAGTGCAGATACAAGTAATCAATCAGAAAGTCCAGATGAAGCAAGTTATGGAAACTATCCAAAGGACAAAACAGAACTCAAGACCAACCAGAGTTTTCAGGATGGCAAACTAGGGCATCAACTCTCCTCAAAAAGTCTGAGTAAAGAATCCTTGCATCTTGAAAGTGTGGGCGAAGAATCCTTGCATCCTGAAAGTGTGGGTGAAAAATCCTTGCATCCTGAAAGTGGGGGTGAAAAATCCTTGCATCCTGAAAGTGTGGGTGAAAAATCCTTGCATCCTGAAAGTGTGGGTGAAGAATCCTTGCATCCTGAAAGTGTAGGTGGAAAATCCTTGCATCCTGAAAGTGGGGGTGAAAAATCCTTGCATCCTGAAAGTGGGGGTGAAGAATCCTTGTATCCAGAACCCAGCTGTTGTCCAAGTGAAGAGGTAGGAAGAGCAGATGCACAATTAGGGAGCAGCTCCGTAGACCTCCCTGAGGAAGCAAGCAACAGACCTGAAGCTTCACAGAAGCCACTTGCCGTAGACCCCCAGGGTGTCCGGGGTCCTGATCATTCCAGTGCAGGGCCGGAGAGCCAGGGTACACGGCGGAGGCGACTGGTGGAACCAGGTGAGAGAGCCCACTGACTTCTGTCCTGTTCTGTATTGCTTGTCACTGAGAGCACAGCAGCTCAGGGTCCTTTCCAGAGGACATCTCTTTCCTTGGACCTTGTCCAAGGTCACAGACAGAGCTATGGCTGAGTTGAGATTAGAATGAGGTTTCTTATCTCCTAGACTAGCTCATTCCATTCCATTAAATAAACTGCATTTTTAAACAATGTTTTCACTTATTTACTGTTGTTTTAATACAGTATGATGGAAAAAAAGGGGGCATGACCTTTTATGAATTCACCTCTGGCTTTTCTTTATTTCTCATGAGCATGCTTTCACTTACAGTTTTTTAAATATTTTATTTTTGGGGAAACTAAATGCTACAAAAATCAAGAGATGGGAAATTAAAAAACCAACACCAATGATACAAGTACCCTTAAAATGCAGTCATTTCAGTTTTATAGGACTTTGAGCAAATCAGTTAATTTCTCTATATCTGACACCCCCCCACCCCATTTGTATATTAAGGAGAACAAGTATCATATATTCTCTTAGTAAGATGTGCTTACAATGTGCTAAGTCCTTCCTGGAACTCAAGGGCTGTGGATTCCAGTTGTGGCCCTCCCACTGGGTGACCTGGGGCAAGTCTCTTAACTTCCTGGTACTTCAGTTTCCTGTTTGTAGGATGAAGAAGTTGGACAAGCAGATCTCCGGCTGGCCTCTTCCAGCTCTCACCTTCTGTGACTGTATGTGTGGATTTGTATTTTATAAGCACTCTGAAGAGCTCAGTCTGAATGGCTGTTTGTCAGTGGAAAGGAATATAAAATACAAAATATTCTGTTCGTCAGAGACTTGACTAAAGGCTAGAAATTCATGTTTCCCTCTCAATCAATTACTGATCTCAAATACTATATGTTTCATTCATTCATTAACCATTAGAAGAGTCTGTAACTTCAGTGAAGGCAGGAACTGCGTCTCTCTCATTAATTGTGTTTCTGTGGCACCTGGCACAGAGAAGCAACTTAGGAATATTTGTTAACTGAAGAAATGAATGAGAGTTGTATGGACCATTATCTGCCATCAGAATGTCACCAGTATGCAGAAATATTCTTTTAAAATGTAGTTTATTTGTGAGAAGCAACTTAATATAATGGAATGAGCTAATCTAGGAGATGAGAAACCTTGTTCTAAGCTCAGTCTCATTATGTGACTTTGGGCAAAGCCCTTAACATCCTTGGATCTTTTGCCATAATAGGTTAAGGTTGGGGGCGGGGGGCTGGAGTAGGTGATCATTAAAGATCCTTCAGTCCTTAAATTCTGTGATATGATATTTTAAACATCTATATTTTTGGTGTGATATGACTACATGAACTGTCTTTTGCAGGTGAAGGTGATTCCACTATTTTATGTTAGTACCATATGACACTTGAGTTGTTTTTCCAGTAAGGGGTGTGGGCAATACTCAACTTTCACTGTTGCATGAAGTACCTGGCTGGAGCCCAGCACACATCCACACTCTAGCGTGACTTAGCTTAGAGTGCTGCAAAACACTGCCCTCCGTTTACCCACACATTTTAAGATTGGCGTCTCACCCCGCAACTGCATTTTTATATAGTCAATAAATATTCTTAAACTTGTATTCCTGCTTTTAAACATACCTCCTTCACTAAGAGTTCCAGGCTTGCTTTTGTAAGCTGTTTGCAGCTACAGTAACCTCTCCTGACTCTAAACTTAGTGCCTCTGTTATTTGTACACTTGGGGGCCCTGAGGGGCCATGTGAGACTTGAACACGGGAATTCCAACATCACTGTCCTGAGATGTTGAGTCTTGTGTACAGCTGACCTTACTTAAATCACTTCTTAATTTTGTATGTTTTTGGTTGAATCACAGACAGGTTTGCCTGCAATATTAGGATACTTGCTGCTTTGTCTTTGATGTAAGGGCCAGTGAGGAATTGTGAATGTAGCAACAGTATCCGTCGATGAATTTCATGATACTACATTTTATTCTGCTAAGTAGAATAAAAATAATAGTGAACCTTAAGAAAAAGGCAGGAAAAAAAAATCCTTATATAACGGAAAATTTTACAAAGTATAGAAATCGGCTCAGTCAAATAATTCTTTAGTTTGGTTAGAGGTGTAAAAGTATACACACTCTCATTAGTGTATTGCCTAGAAATAATGTTCTTTTTCCTCCCCCCCAGAAGCTGAAAGTCATCAACAGGAAATACAAACATTAGAAGAAAATAAAGAGGATGCACAGGACGCCATAAGAAAGAGTAATAAAAAGGATTTTTGGAGCTATGGTGAGAACAAAGCTGGTACAGTGTCAATTCACATTCAGAAATCCTCAGCGAGAATACCTAGAAAATGTGCAGGTTTAAACAGTTTAATCACGTGTTAGAAAGTGTTTGATAGGAGGTAACAGGAAAATAGAGCAGTGGAGTTTTAGGGTTTCTCCTTCGGGGGTGCTTGCTGGCTGCTAGTTTGCCACCCTTAACCAATGGGAATTACCACAGGAGGAAAGACATGTCATAAACAAGAAATTACAACTGCCTTTTCAGTTAGAGAATATTAACCTCGCAAGTGGCATTTTTACATTTTGACCCTTAAAAATAAAAGGCATGTTACAGGTGATAGGTATTTTGAGAAGGTAGAATATCCTGAGAGCGCATCTCTACATCACATCTTTATATTATATTGTAGCAACGTATTATAGCAACAAATACAAAAACTTAGCTTTTACTTTCTAACAAAGATATTGCATCTTCAAATAATTAAGTCTAAGAAATCAGAAAAAAAAGTGTATCTGGGAGATTTTGAGAGTAGAAAGTTTAAAGGATTTTGGCAAAAACAAACAAACAAACAAAAAAAGCCAAAAAACAACTCACCACAACCCATAAAAATCTAACAGTATCTCTGCCTCATTTCAATTTACCAGGGGTTTTATTTCTGACTCACGTTCTCTCCTTTTGTTGTTTATCTTTTTCATTCTCTGACAGGTCCCTTCTTTCTTGGCTTCCTGGTGGTGGCTTTTGTTTTGCTAAGCTCCGCTCAAAGCTACTATTCCTCTCCAGCACAGCAGGTGCCCCAAAATCCAGCGTTGGAAGCCTTCCTGGCTCAGTTCAGCCAGCTGAAGGACACGTTTCCGGGCCAGAGCGCTTTTCTGTGGCAGAGAGGACGCAAGTTTCTCCAGAAGCACCTCAATGCTTCACACCCCACCGAGCCGGCCACCATCATCTTCACAGCAGCTCGAGAGGGAAGAGAGACCCTGCGGTGCCTCAGCCATCGCGTGGCGGACGCCTACACCTCTTCCCAGAAAGTCTCTGCCATTCAGATTGACGGGGCGGGAAGAACCTTGCAGGACAGTGACACGGTCAAGCTACTGGTGGACATGGAACTGAGCTCTGGGTTCGAGGATGGCAGGAAGGCCGCCGTGGTGCACCGCTTCGAGTCCCTCCCCGCAGGCTCCACCTTGATCTTCTACAAGTACTGCGACCACGAGAACGCGGCCTTCAAGGACGTGGCCCTCGTCCTGACCGTCCTCCTCGAGGAGGACACGCTGGCCGCCAGCGTGGGCCCCAGGGAGACGGAAGAGAAAGTGCGAGATTTGCTCTGGGCCCGGTTTACCAACGCGGACACTCCCAGCTCCTTCAACCACATGGACTCGGACAAGCTGAGCGGGCTGTGGAGCCGCATTTCGCACCTGGTGCTGCCCGTCCAGCCCGTGAGGGCCATCGAGGAGCAGGGCTGCCGGCTCTGAGCCAGGCGGGCAGCGGCGGTGGAAGTGAGGGGTTTATTAAAGGCAGTTTAAAGGCCTTCCCTGTCTGTGGGAGGAATGTGAGGAAATCGCCTGAAAAGTACAAGTGGGCTTATTTTAGGAAAAAATCGTTTATTTTTTACTTTTGGTAAAAATTTTTCTAATCTAAGCTTGACAAAGCTAAAAGCTGACCTGACTTTTTTTTTCTTTGCTTTTCAAGCAAATCAGGTTTGAAATAGATAACAGATAGGGTGTGTGTGTGTGTGTGTGTGTGTGTATATATATATAACAGGATTTTTTTTTTTTAATCTAAAAATATAGCAGCAGAATTATTGCACAGGAAAATAATTTTCTCAGAGTAATGACAGAGTGATTTTTGTTTTCTTAAGACTCTAAAAACCCTTTAGAATCGTGTTTGGACTAAAGCAATTACAGTTATGAAGCAAGGATAATTTAAACAAATTTCTATCATGTTAAAGATTTAAAAAACTTTAATAGCTTTATTGTGGAATTACATTTTACAGTAATTTGCACTGTTGAATAGTATGAAAAAAGGAAATTTGTATTCAAATATCTAATTACTATATGTAAGGCACTGTTTTTTTTCTGTTAGTGAGCTGAGGTAAAAGCAGTTATACTCAAGAAATAGTCTTAAAAATTGGAAACAATGGGGAATTGGTTATAATCATTGGGAATGAAGAAATTCTAATTGGCTGTATCGTTACTTCAGCTTTTAAAAATTATTTAGAGCAATGATTTTACGCTGTGTCTACTCCCCTTCTCCCCCCAGTATTAGAGCAGTTCTGTTTTGACTTTTTCATTGGGATTCTTCATAAGATTTAATTGGAACAGAGAGTTCCACTGATAATGAAGTTTGAAAACCACAATTAAGGAAACATCTTAGAAGATAGTAAATGCATAGAAAAGAAAAAAAGAATGTATTAAAATTCCTGAGTACGAAGAGGACAAAATATAGGTATCTTGTACAGACATGCTTTTTATCAAAGTTAAAGACTTATCAATGAACAGTAGACTGTTTAAAGTAACATTTACTAGCATATTTCTGATGCTTTTGTTAATTTCTATTAATCATCATTTCTGTCTCCACTGAATGGAATTTTACAATTGTCTACAGTTTGAGTGTCCTTTATGGCCATAACTTGACCATACTGCTTACTTGTTAAGCAGTGATAGAACATTCTATACTGCACCTCATTTCTTTATCTGCTAGTTAGAAGTGCCATTAGGTTAACAGTTAGAGAAATGGAAGAGGTGTGGATGTAGTGAGAGGAAGCAACATGGTGGATAGTTTCTAAGAGGTTCTAATGGTCAATGTTAATTCTTGGCCGTGTTCTGTCATCGTAGAAAGATTGAGACAGTATTTATGGAGACGGGAGTTTTTTGTTTTGCATTTCAGCTCTGAAAGCAGAACTCTAGTAAATGGCTTTGACCTAAGGAAGGGTGTCCCATGACACAGCAGTCCTATCCCAGGCTCCTGGTCTATTTCAACTACTGGAATGTTTCAACCAGGATTTGGCCTCTCTGTTGCTATGAGAGCAGAGAAGTCATGGGATTAAAGTTTGGAAGGAGTTTGGAAACTGTAGGAAGATGTAGGTATGTTTCTTAATACCTAAAAATCAATCATAAAGACATGGGGGGAGAATCTATTTGAAAATATCCGTCACAGGAAACATGGATAAATCTATTCTAACCAAGGCCTACCTGTGCTCAGTTGAGGTAGAGGCATACTAGTACCTAAAGGAACTATTTTCATTTGGGACTTCATGAGGGAATCTTCCAATAGAGTTGAGGCAAGACCTGCCTGAATAAAAAGTTAAAGCAAAGTGATTATAATATCTATCCAATATACACTCAGAGGAAAGTGAAGAGAGGTCTATATGCCATATTCACATTTTTTTCTGTATTTCTAGAGCTCAGATGCTAGCATTCCAGCCCATAAACCAATGGTGCCTTGTAGAACTGTGACGCTGGCCAGCTGACCTGGCTCCCTCAGGTCTATAAAGAACCAGTGTGAAGTGTGCATGTCTAATACATCAGTGACTCAGATCATAGTTGAAACAAAGATTATTTTTTTTCTGCACTCAGTTGAATATGGTTTTTCATCATTTCTTTTGGATATAATTTAGAAAAGGAAATTTCTTTTTTTTTTAAATATATATTTTATTGATTTTATGGATATAATTTAGAAAAGGAAATTTCTTTTTTTTTAAATATATATTTTATTGACTTTTTACAGAGAGGAAGGGAGAGGGATAGAGAGTTAGAAACATCAATGAGAGAGAAACATCGATCAGCTGCCTCCTGCACACCCCCTACTGGGTATGTGCCTGCAACCAAGGTACATGCCCTTGACCGAAATCGAACCTGGGACCCTTGAGTCCTCAGGCCGACTCTCTATCCACTGAGCCAAGAGGGGGGTTGATAGAAAAGGAAATTTCAAAGTCATAACTTCTTTTTGCTGTTTAGCCTTTGTTAAAAAAAAACACCACTCTTCCATATATAAGTGCAATCAACTGAACTGTTGTCAATTTTCTGTCTATTACTTCAGAAATCATTTTAAAAAGAAGCAGTATATTAACTCTGGGTCTTTGAAAAAAGTGATTATTTTTAAAGCATAAAACTTTATATTTTTAAATGAACAAATAAAATTTATTATCTAATAGACTCAGGTTAATTTCTACTCGATTGTTCCTATTTTTTTACATTTTTCAAGTTTCCAAATTTTCTTTTGTGTGTCTAGTAGTTCATCTTTCATTACTATAATAGATATTTTGCTTCTTTGACTTAGAACAATGACTTGTGGGCACATGACACCGTACATAATACCCAAACATCACCGTTTAATTATGACAGAACAAATCTCATTACATTATATATGAACATAAACCACTTTTTGATTGACATCAGAATTCTAGAAGCAACTGGTGGAATCAGAAATCGTCTCTGGACTTGAGTTTTTTCCCCCCTGAGGGATAGTTTGTAAGGGTTGGCAGAAAAGTTCGGGGGGGGAGGGGGGTTGATCATATCATTAAAGGTGATAATGAATTTGTTTCTATTTTTTAAATCAATAAAATAATTTAACTGTGTTTCATTTGAAAGCCTCCAAGTTTATGGGCATCTGGTAAGGCTCAGATGCCTGTGGCCCGCCGTCCCCCAGCGAAGGGCCCCACTGAACAGTGCTAGCTGCTGAGGTGGCTTTGACCCTTTCAGTTTTTAACTGTTTGATTTATATTTTTATCTGCTAAAGACAGGCAGTATAATGAGCACGACATTAAGGAATAACCAACAAATACAGCATGTGAAAGTGATAGTTCAGCAACATGAATTTCACCAGGACCGAATTGGCATATTTTTTATGCAGCATATCCAGGTGTTGAGCACTTCAAGAACTAATGTTAACATGAAAATGTAATTCTTATACCTGATTAGGGCTATCATTTGATGGGAATTAAGCTTATATGCATGCAGCTTATTTCAAATAGCAACATGAAAACTTTTTATCATTTGAAAATAAAACAATTATAAAAATAAACCAGTACATCTTTGTAAAGTGCTCAATATATCATTTTATAAAAGCAGTTTTTAATCTGTTTTTCAAGTTGACTGTGTAGTTAAACATCAGTATTCATTTTCATATTTGGTTTACCAATCTGAGTATTCATTTTGAGATTTGTTGTAAAGTCATAATGGTTTTATTTTTCAAATTGTATCTTGAACACTGTGTCTCACTGTTGATATGTGTCTTTATATATGTATTTGGAATATTATTGATTACAAATACTTTAATCATAATTCATGAAATACAAAAAGATTATTTTAAAATTTTTCTAAAGGTGTCCATGAAATTATCAAATACTGAGCCTCAGAGACACATACCTGTGGATAATATATTTGCAAAAAAGATGTTGCCAATTCTAGACAGAGCTAAATTAAGATATCCACGTTAAACAGTGTCTCCAGATGACGTTAATCTAGGCCTTATTCCTGTTTGTTAACAGTAGGTGTCAGGTTGTGGCCTAAATTTGCTTCAGTGACACTGAGACTGGGCTCTTGAAACTCGTTTCTAATAAACTGCCCTGTCACAACGAGGGCCTGGCTTCTCTACCTGTTTTTAAAAATACATACGTAAACTAAGGAGGAGCCCAAGCACATAACCAGCATCCTGTAATCTGCAAATAATCTGTAAAGGTAAGTGACTCAGTCTTCAGTGACTTCCCTGCCAGTACTGCCTGCAGTATCTATTTCAGCTTGTAAAAATCCAGAGATGGGTTTCTGTCCTGGGAAATGACCGCCCACTTTCCTTCATTGGGGGCTCAGAAACTAAATTTGCCGTTGGCTAAGAGCACTCACCGGAATGAAAGGATGCTTTGGACTTGGGAAGCAGCTTTGGACTTGGGAACCAGCTTTGGACTTGGGAAGCAGCTTTGGACTTGGGAAGCAGCAGGCCGAGAAACATCACGGCAGGGTAGAGTTGGCAAGACGTTAGGCGCAGCGATCTCAATCGTCCTTTCCCGGAGCCCACGCTGGGCCGCAGCCTCCTCAGCACGAAGCTTAGGCAGCTGCTCCTCGTTGATCAGATGAAACGAAATGTATACCTATTCACCATCCCTGTCATCAAATAAAGAAGAGCACGCTGACTTTCAAACAACTGCATTTTGCTTTTTCTCTACTTATCAAAAAAGAAGGGGCTGTGCCAGTGTTCGTGTCAAGGGTCTTGGTGTGCCCCTTCACTCCTTGCTGTGACTGCTTTTGCATTTGTTTCTTATGGATGTTGAAGAATGTGCCTTATTCAAATCAGTCGTCTGGTTTTACCAAAAATAAAGTTCCTTGCTTTTCCTCAGTTGACTGATTCTTGATTATATCTCCAAAAATAGCAAGTTTATAGAGATAGGTACGTGGTCATCAATGAAAAGAAAGAAAATTGCCCTCATTTGGCAAATTCAAAAACCGAAGAGCCCTGTGAGGAGTGGTGACCTCGTGGCCAAGAGAAGGATGCAGGGCACCTGCGCCTGGAACCTGCCGTTCTCATTGGGCTTCTCCGGTGCTAGTCCTCCTAATGAGGCTTTTGGCTTTGGAGTTGTTAGCTAGAGCCTGGGAATGGCTCCCAACCTGGGGTGTGCTGATAGGAAATGCGTTCAGTTGCGTGTGGGGAGTGGGAGAATCCAGAGAGTGCTGACAGTTTCTGCCTTAGACTTTTGCTGAAGGAGAATCAGAGCAGAAGCCCTGCAATACCCATCTTGGCCCCTTTCCCCCTTCTGGCTTTCTACCCCCACTATTCTATCCTCAACTAAAAGCAACAACCTACTGACATAGTTCACAGAAGAGCTTTCTACCAAATCTGAATTCGACTTTGAAAACCTGATTTATTTTTTGCAGTTTAGAATAACAGGCCTGTATGCTTAGAGGAAGAATTCAGGGGATGCTGTTAGCAGGGTCAGGCCTCTGCTTTGATTTTAGGATGTTTAGTTAGACCCAGAACACACATCCTCTCAGGAGAGTAGTCCTTCGTTAAGAATAAGGATGCAATTCCCACTGGCTAGGAAACCTCTGGCCCAAGGCAAAACCCAGCCCAGGAGGGTGCATGGGTATCAGGGTGGGGTGGAGTGCAGCGGGGACTGGCATGTACCTGCAGGAGAGCTCCATGTTCCCCCAGGTGGTCAGGTGTCTGTGGCCAGGGCCGGTGAGCCTCGTCCTCTTCTATGGAGACCTGGAGGGAAGGCGATCTCAGGTGCCCAGTGTGAGGCAGCCACCAAGCCTCTGGGCACTAGCTCCTGTGAAGACCCAACTGTCCTGCCCACTGGGCGGGGGGTGGGGAGTGGGGAGAGCTGCATCGCCACCCCCCACCTCCTGTGTTTCGGGCTTCTTGTTGCTGGTGTATGTGTGTGTGTGTGTGTGTGTGTGTGTGTGTGTGTGTGTGTAGAACAGGGGTGAGGGGTGGAGTGGTTGATGACAGGAAACACAGGAAGGGTGGGAGCCAAGTGCTGCCCTTGGGGCCTGGGCAAATCCTCCCCCAGGGACCAGCCACCCTTGGAAGAGGACCCCCTGGGGAAGTAGCTCACCTGTGATGCTGGGGTCTTCTGGAGAGAGGGGTGCTGGACTGCGCAGCCAGGCTGCCCGCTGCCCACCATCTGCAGTCAGGGCTCTGGGTGGCCCGAGGAGAGCATCTCGCTTTCTCTCTCACACACACACTCCTGGACACACATGCAGACCCACGTCCCCCCCTCTCACCCCCTGAATCTCCCTCTCGCACACAAAGCTGTTTCCTGGTTCTCTGGCCCTCACCCCCACTGCTCCCCCTCTGCCGGGGTCAGAGCTGAGGGTCTGGTTTTCAAAGTCTCTTCTCATCCTGAGGAGCCCCATCCTTGGCAGGCAGGGCTGCATTTACCTCAGGGAGCAGCAGCTAGCGACACTGCAAGTCCCCTTTCCCACAGCAACACGTCTCCCTGGACATGAGCTGGGACTGAGGCAATGGGGCGGGATGGCAGGACACATGGAGGGGGTGTGGGTAGGGAGGAAGGGGGTGGCCAGACTTGTTAGCATGGAAGCAGGAGGGGAAAGGAAGCTGGTGGTCGCCTTACATCCGTGCCCAGCTCCCCCGGCGAAGAACGGAGGACCCTGTGGGATTTCTGTTTCAAACTCCTCATTTATTGACATTCACTTGGTTGTGACTCCAAGTTATCAAAGACGCAGGAGAAGAACCCGCAGCAGGAGCAGTGGTGGAGAGAGGATGGCAGGAGGACAGGGTGCTCCCAGCTTCTCCTCTTCCTGTTTAGGGTGCAGCTTGGAAAGTGTCCAGATAGTGTCCCATCACAAAAAGTCAGTGCAGTGGAGCGGGGTGAGCCTCCTCCTGCCAGGCGAGGCCTTGGCGGCTACAGGGAGGCGGGCGGGCAATCTTGAGCCTGTGCCCGAGCAGCGTGGGGCTGCGTGTGGGAGAGCCGGCGCCCACCATCGCTCCAATGCCCCCAACACGTTTTCATTTGTGGGTTGACAGGATTTAGGCTGGGAAGCTAAGGAGACAGGACTGCACACGATGGTTCTCACTTGGGGACCCTAATAGATCAGGGGTAAGAGGTGGGTGACCATTGACCAGGTTGTTTTGATTTTTGTGAAGGCAAGAGGTAAGATGACACTGGTTTTTTTGGGGGGTGGGGTGGGGAGAGGGACAGCCCTTGCTCAGGGTGATTGGCAATGGAATTCCAGGGCAGCAAGGCACTGGGCTGGTCGTCGGGATGCGGCAGGGCTGCCAGGCCCAGCTACTCATGTCAAGGGGGTGCACTTGACGCGGTCAGGGCTGGCGGAGGCATGGGGGATGTTAAAGCTGCTGTCCTAAGCTGGTCCCTCTGGTCTCATCACACCCCCTAGGGCTGCCTCCTGGTATAAGAGAAATGGTGCCATCTGAGGTCTCTCATGGGAGAGTCAAACGTGTGCTTTTCACATATAGTTCGAAATGCTTTGCCTGCTCACCCCATGTCTGACTGTGGTCTTTCACCCCTTAGCACGTGTCCCTGCTCACAGGATCAGGCAGTTGGCAAGTGTGTCCAGCTCCTGTGAGGACTGGGGCGAGAGAGTGTGGCTGGCTGGCAGACCTTGGCAGGCAGCCCTCAAAGGGCCCTTGGAGTCCATCTGGGCAAGTCTCAGTCCCCTGGAGGAAATGGGTCTCAGAGAAGATAAGTGACTGGTTCTGGAGCTAATGAGTGACCACAGTGTGGCTCGGCCGAGGTCCTCTGGTTCTCAACCCAGTGAGCCTTGCAGATGGAGATGCAGGGTGACCCGAGCCTGAGCGGTGATGCAAAGGTGTGATGAATTCTCCCCACCTCCCCTCCCCTGGCTGCACCCCGTCCTTTCTCAAATACAGAATCACTATTTCAGCAGAGGGGCCAGCTCCTTTCCTGCCCCACCCTCTGCAGCATTCAGTGCCTCCGGAGTGGGTGGGAGTTGGTTATGCCCTTCAGAGGGGGTGCAGCCACTCCTTACTGCAGAGGCAACTGGAAAACTCATCGGATGCATTCACTCCAACGGAATGAGGCCAAGGCTGAGTTAGAAGTGGGAAGTGGGAGTTGGACTCGGGCTAGAGTGAGAGCCATGAGAGGGCCCTCACCCGGAGACGGGGGGTCGGGCAGCGGAGGGAGGGCAGCAAGCAGAACCCAGCTGCTAAGTCAGATCCCTCTGGTCCTCAGGCGCTGGCCCTGGTGGAACCAGCGGTCTGGCTCTACTGTGTCGTGGCTGCATGACAGAGGAGAGGGGCGATCAGGGCAGCAGTGTCCCCGGGGAGGCGCCTCGGCCTCTTCCTGTAGCAGCCACCTCACTGCTGTGGGGCCTGGTCACCTTGAGCACCCTCTGCTCGTGCTGCCTGGGGGTCAGGTTTTCCCTTCTAGTTGCTACATCGAGACCCTTCCACTCTGCGGCTCCTGGAGGCAGCAAAGCCTGGTGCTGGTGGTGACAGGTGTGTGTGCACACACCAGAGAAGGCACACGCCCCGCGGGACTGTACCCACACACACCGCTCGCTGTGGGGGACCACGGCCCCGGAGACCGTCGGCAGGACCTCACTGGCTAAGCGACTCGAACTCTAGTGACAACTCTTGAGAAGGTTCTCAGTGAGGCAGCTGGTTCCCGAAGCAAAGCAAGGACGTGGGGGGGAGGCAAGGTTAGACAGTCGCTTTTAGGTGCCTTCCTCACAGCAACCTGATGCCTTCAAAGCCAACTCAACGTGTCCACAAGGAAGGGTGCAGTCACAGCTGTGCTGTGGGCAGGAATCAACAGCTATATTTGAGCAGTTACAGGCTTTGCAGTCTCTGACAACCGAAAAGACAAAACTAGATTGTGAACTGGCTTTTGGATTTGTTTTAGCAAGCAAGTCCTGAAGCGGTCCCTTTAACACCATCCCCTTCCTTCCCAAATTCTGCAGGTTTACTGTGCCCTGGCCCCCTGCCCTGTGGCCCCCTTCTCCTTTCACCCCCCAAGGATGCTGGAGGCCTCCAGACCTTTGCACAGCTTTCCTTCCTCTCACAAGACTGGCAAAGCCGGGGGGTGGGGGTGGGGAAGGAGAGGGCCTGGGGGTGCTGGAGTTGGCCCGAGGAACGAGGAACGTCCCCACAGAGAACCCGGCACAGCTGCCATCCAAGCACCCCATGGCTTCAATCCTGGGGAGCCTCCCACTTCAGGGCAAGAAAAGCCAAGGAAACGGAGACAGTCCTGTGGGGTGTTGGGAGGCAGCCGCGGGCCCAGTGCCCCTGACGGAGCGGCGTGTGGGTGTGTGTGGGTGTGTGTGGGGGTTCGGGGTGAGAGGGGTTACACGTCTGTACTAATAGCCCTTGGATTAGTGAAAGCCTCGCGGGCAGAGCCTGGCCACGTCACCGGGTAACTCTGGGGTGCTGCCAGCTGGAGGGACGGGAGGCCCCCCTCCTTGTAGTATGTGGGAGCGAAGGAGAACCTCTCGCTTCCGCCCCCATTGGGCACCATGTCGGCTGTCCGTATGTAAAAGGGGGAGCTGTATGGGGAGCAGGTGGCGCAGTGGCCGGCTGCCACCCCACACGGCTGGCCGCAGGGCTCACTGGTGATGGGCGCCAGGCTGCCTCTGCCGTCCAGGGCTTGGGCGCTGCAGGCATTGCAGGGGGGGCCTCTGGAGGGGGTGGGCAGGTCGTGCTCCTCCTCCTCCTCCTCTGCATCCTCCTCTCCGCTCTTCTTGCAGCAGTAATACTGAGGGGAGAGGCGGAGGGCCCCCTCTGAGTGGCACAGGCAACCATGCCCCTGCTCCACTGTTGATCAACTCAACCCCAGAGACCACGTTCCACAGGTATAGATTCCAGCCTTGCAAAACGTTCCCTTTTCCCTC